CAATGCCAAATCCTAGATTCGCCGTTGCGACCTGTCCTCGAGGGTAGAACAATTTTCAATAATTTCCAACGTTAACACCGATAAGATACAACTCACAAACTATTCCTAGACTATTATTAACATTGACCTTGTCTTGGTGTGGTAATTACGAAAGCATTGCCAGTTTTTGACCCAACGAATGATCATTTCAGTAGGTTTGTACGTGTCACTTAGGACAGTAATTTTTTTTTTCAATGAATTTTTACAAATTATTTGAAATGGACGTTAACTTCTGCGGCTCCACCCCCTCCCCTCTCGCCCTTTGTACTTTGTCCAAAATTGTAAAGCTTGTTCTTGCTAGCCAATACAAATTCTTTCCTGGGCTCACTCAAAATGAATACTTCTAAATATTTAAATATGCATTAGCACACATTATACTGAGGCCTACTATATTATAACACATAGGCCTTAGCATAATTTTTTTAACGCAAATTATAATTACAAATTGAACATCAATCAATCAATCAAATTTATTTCACTTTCAACATGGATTACATACACAATTCAATCAAGTAAATGGAACAAACAATAACAAAACAAGCAATGGTTGCTGAGCGGGCATGAGCCCATATAAATAGTCCCCTATACAGACTAAACACATTTATAGAAGTTAACCATTAATCATAAACCTATTAATAGGTCCATGCATTAATACTACATGGAACAATTAAACTATATTGAAACGTTAAGACTTAGATGTTAAGTTAATTGAAAACTTTAAAGTATAAGAGGATAAAAATGAATTGCCAACAAAATTTTACTTTATGTGCGAATACTTATAACATGGTATGTTATAAATCATTTTGCTGTCCTACGCTATGTGATAGTTATTGTCAACTTCGAATACGGTGTGTCACTTTTATGTAACAACAAATTAAAACAAAACAAAGAGTTTGGTGTTGTTTAGAGATTCAAGATTCAAGATTCAAGATTTATTATCGTCATACATAGTACATATATACGAGATTTATTTCTTTGAGTTGATAACAAACAGTGGAAATCGAATACTATAACACTTATAAAATACAAGACAACAGTTAACAGATATAATATTAAATATGAATATAAAGATATAAAAATATATTACACACGGAATTAACAAGGTTGAACTATATTGTGAGGTCAGGAGAGGAATATGGCATGGAATGTAATACAGTAGATAGGCTTGATCATGAGATTATCTACTGAAGTGTTCGTTAAAGACTCTTATTGTACATGGTAAAAATGAGTATTTATGATGCAGTACAATTTCTAATTTACTCCTTCTGCTATAGGTTTGTAACTCATGCTCTGATAGAAACGCACAATAAACGCCTAATAATAAAAGTCACCCACTAACCTGATAGAACCCTATGGAATATTTCGTTAGATTAATCAATTTTTAACTATATAACTATATACACAATAATTTTAAAAATTACATTTTCGGGTTTATAACGGCTACCACCCAGGGGATGGATTTATAAAACTTATTTAACAAAAAAAAAGATCAGCTTAACTTCGTCTTAAATCCATAAATCCCAGGCCAGGTCTTTTAAGATACTGAAATGTGATATTATATGGTTCAGTTTGGTTTTTATCCCATTGCTAGTTTTAATAAAGTTTTGTTTAATAATAGGCTAATACTACTACTAGTAGTAGTAATAATAATAATAATAATAATAATGACAATGATATTGCTCAAGTTTCTTGACTTGATAACATGATCTTGTTGACGACGGCATTAGGGACATCCATGGTGCTATCATCAACAACAACTATATCAAACTTGCTTTTGTAAACTTCAAGGTTTTGTTCCTGAAATGGAAACAATTTTTTCTTATAAATATCCTAGCGAAGACAAAACGTTATTAAAACATTGTCGTATAATTATTCTTATGTGGTGTAGTTGATAATAAAAAAAATAATGACTTACAACATGACTGTTCAGAAAGCCAATTTTGAGGACATCTGCATGTATTAACCCGTCGGCCATATCCAGGTCACCGATGGAGTCACCCATCAGGAGAACGTTGGTGCGTTCCATGTGTTGTTCAAAATAATCCCGATTAATCCTAGTTATCTCTCCCTTGTTATAGTGGTTAATTACTGTTCCATTACAACTTATGCCTACAATTTTTCCCTGGAGGTGAAAAATTGTTTAAAACGATACGTAATACATGATTCATATATAACACAGCAAAAAAAAAAGAGGATAATTTAACAATGTATTATACTATAAGTTTGTTTTTACTATTTGTATTTTACATTGTATTGTTCTGGTTGCCTTATTGTTTGTTGTTTTTATACAGTATTATTGCAGGACCATATTGTAAAACAGCGTTAAGATATCATCTGTATATGTTATCCTGCCTAAAGATGTTTTAAATAAAATAAATAAATAATATATATATATGTATATATATATATATTTTTATATGTATATGTATATGTATATATATGTATGTATATATATACC